ATAGATAGATAGATAGATAGATAGATAGATAGATAGATAGATAGATAATAGATAGGTGATAGACAGATAGGGATATGGCACAGATTTGAGAGGTGGGTTTGGGGATCAAGGGAGGAGTTAGAAGGGTGAGGGTGGGGTGAATTTAAGGCAACTTTTCTATACTCACTGTATGAACTTCTAAGAAAGGAACCTTTTGCAATCATTGTTCAGTTTACTACTTTTATAATTTACACCTTTTCCAAAAAGAGATTTTGCTGCTCAGCACTTGGTGGGTGTGTCTTAGGATTATTAAAGTGATAAATTGGTCTAAAGTAGCTTCCATACTTAAGCTATTGGCATAGATGTGTCTGAGTTTGAAACACTTCTCATCTCTATGGAAACTTTTAGTTCTCTGCTAAGAAGACACACATGGATCAGATCTTTCTCTCTCGTTATTCCTTAGCCGTGGGTTCCATTACTTTTGTCAGCCATGTCTGCCCATGCATATCTCATGATCTCACAGAGCCAATGAGCAAAGCACTGCTTCAGTTTTGCCAGCTCAGACTGAGCTGTGTGGGACGTCCATACATGTGGTGATAAAAGCGGCTGGCCAGCCACCAACTGCCATTTCTTGAAATGATGCTATTAAACATATACTTTTAGTAGAAAAACATGGCCTGAGTCATCTACCCATCTATTAGTGATTGCGTTTTACATCCACTGTCCGCCCATCTGTGTTTTTCACCTGGTTGTCTGTTTGTCTTTTCCAACACTTAGTTCAATGGCAGTGTAACCAACTGTCTATCCTGTCAGATTTTCTGGCTGTGTGGTGACTGGCTGTACCCACCAGGTACTTTAGGCATCATCGTCATTTTAGCTTTGTATCAACAAATGGTGCTAAGTCTATGCTATGCCCTCTGGAGGGTCTAGAACCCAGGACAACAGTCAAAACTGGAAGAAGAGTGTATTATAAACAAGGTGTAGTGCAGGGGAGTGTGAGGGGAGGGCAAGGGGCAGAGAAGGCAAGGACTCTCTTCACAGCGGGCCCCTTCTGAAGTAACGACTGTGGGTCCAGACTGTAGCATCATTACACAAATGGTCATACGTCTAACCTTCACTCGTGGTGTTCTGACTGGAGAACACAAGAATTGTCACCTTTCCTTTGCTTGGAACTCCTTTGAGTGGCTGGAAATAAAATTGTATCCCTAAGTACACTGGCCTTTTCTTTGTATTCTTCACATAGAACAATTTCAATGGGGTGACCTAGACTAGGTAGGAACATTCTGGCACAGTTTCTTTGGAGAATCTTTAAGACTTGAGCATAAAAAAAGAGGATGTTGAGTTCTTACCTGAAACCATGGTTTCATCCATGACAACGAATGAGGATTCTGCCAGACACAAAAAAGAACATGTGGCCCAACAGCTGACACAGCACACCTGGCTGTATATGAGAAGATTGAGGAACTCATGGCAAACATAGTGCCTCAGGCCCTCCAGGACTGCTGAACCAGTCTCTAGAGGGATGACCTGAGTGTTGAAAGGCCGTATGGTACAATACTCAAGCAGTTCTAGCTGAAAAGATCTCTTTTAGACTTTGGTGTATTACTCTTTTGTCACACATAAAAATATGACCATTGTAAAATTAAGGGTTTAAAATAAAAACCAAAGACATGAAATTCTAGCTCCTAAAGTCTCAGTAACCCAAGGTTCTTGGGATTGGAAGCCTAGGATGTAGGAAAAAGAAGACATAGCACTTCGCGGACCAGAGTGATGACTCTCGTCAAGCCCAGGATTTTGAGTTTAATCTCAAGAGCCTGTGCACAAAAAGCTGGGCTTAGTGACACACACTTGCAATCTAGTGCCAAGGAAGCAGAGACAGTTGGCTCACTGGCCAGCAATACTAGCCTAACCACTGAGCTCTTGGACAATAAGAGTCCTTGTCTCAAAAAAATAAGGTAGATGACAGACAGTGCCTTAAGATTCCCCCCATCTCTCACACACAAACAAACATAAATACATATGTGCATGTGCACCCACATATACAATAGCACAATCATGCACACATTCAGCTTTCCTTTGACTCAGTGTTGCTAAGAGATACTTAGTCTGGTCTTAAAGATGCAGGGGCTCCTCCAGGCTCCCAATATCTCCCTTTTATCAACTCCCAACTCACATCATCCATTGCAGATTTTCCTTCTGGATCAAATCATTCCCACTTGGCAAGGTTGACAGCTAGTGGAGGATGCAACTGAAACTTTTCCAGACCTTGGGACACCCAGCTTTATTCCTAATTCACTCTCTGACTGAGTCTTATCTAAGAGCATGCCAGTAAGAGACCTCAAGGTCTGATGAAAAAGGGGGAGACTGGGCATGGGACACTCTAGGGAGGTTGAAGGATCACCAATAGTGATGGAAATTTTCTGGGGCCAGGCTGTACCAGGAACAAGGCAGAGACATGGAGTGGACACGGGAGCTGCCTCACTGGGACAGCCATTCCCTAGCTATTCCCCTAGCCATTCCCCACTTGAAGGAAGCACCTTGGCCAGATCTCACATTTCAACTGTGCCCTACCCATCCACTGGTCTCTGTCTCCATGTACCTCATAACTGACTGAGCAAAGTGTTCTATAGAAGTCTGGGGAATCAATTATCCTGTGTGTAGAATGCACAGTAGAGGAGGTGGGGGGCTGGGCCCGATGGCCTTGAAGGCACTGTCTACTCTCCTCTTGGACAATCAGGTGGTTACATGTCTTGTCTCTCTGCTGCTCCACTGCCTCAGAGAATAAGACAAACCCAGTTTCCAGCAGAACCTCTTTCCCAAGCCTCCAGCGAACCACACACATAAACATCATCTTCCCTACCTGGTTGTGTCCTCGTTACATAGTCAGCATCTACAACAGTGAGACATGAAAACAGCTGCAGTGAGACAGTGGCCCGCTGGCACGTGTTCAGTGGTTATTTTTACACATAAGGTAATAATTAGTTCATCTTCATTGTGAACATAACTGGATTTGGAACCACCTGGGAGACACCTATGGACATGCCTACAAGGGTGTTTCCAGAAAGGTTTAGCTGAGGAGGGAAGACTACAATCTTCCGGGTGAGGAGTCCCAGGCTGAATAAAAGGGATACATGTATAAAGCACTCCCCAGTCTGGTCTGTGATGTCATATGCAATGGGACAAGCTCATTCACACTTCCATCACAATGACAGACTTTGTCCCCAAATTGGGAGTCAAAACGCATCCTTTCTTCCTTCCACTTTTTTGAATATTTTGCTACAGCACAGAGATCTGTAACTAAGATAGATGTGAAGGGTGTTCTCTTGGAAGGGCCGAGGCTAGGCTCTAAGAGGCATGTGGCTTTACCTGAACAGATGACACCAGCATCTTCAGTGTGGTCACAGTTGTGGGAGAACCAGCCAATGTGGGAGCATTCCTCCAGGTGATCCTCGTGTCCCTTGCAATGCACGTTGTCAAGGAGAATCTTCCCGGAACCTTCCCCAAAGTAAGCTTCGCTCACAGCAGAGATAGCCCAGCCACACCCTAGTTGCCTGCAGATGATGTTTGCTTCTGGCAGATCCCAGAGGTCATCACACACAGTCCCCCAGACTCCCTGGTAGAAGAGTTCTACACGGCCTGCACATCTCCCAGGGTTGCCTGACAGCCGCACAGGGAGCCAGCCTCCTGGGGAAGAAAAAGGAGGCAGGGAGTAATAGTGCCTTCTCAGCCCACTGATGGCTATTGTCTACCACCTAGTCTCTCTTCTTGTTTTCCTTGCCTGCCCAAAGCAGCCTATGTAATTACCCTACTATGTCTGTTCCATAGAACCTATGGTCTTTTCCTTATTTACATCCTGTTTCAAGACAACTTCACTGTGAAGAGTCCTTTGCAGAAACAGACGTTATTCTATTTCCCTATTCTCTTTTCAATGAGATGCTCCTAGCTAGAAGCTAGGCTTCTGTCCTCCCTGTTGGCATTGTGCTTGGGGTCTTTGGTTCATCTTGGTTTTGAGGGCATGCAGACATAGCTTACGCCCTGGGCACCCTGGAGCATCAAGTGACTAAGCACAGGTGAGCATGCTGGATGGTGAAGGACATGGAGCTGGCTGTTGTATTCACTTCAGTGGCAGCTATATTGCTTCCAGACATGTAAGGGGGCCAATGCTAGGATTGGCAGCTTCGGCTGACTTTCCAGTGAGCCACTTGCACAAGGAAACCAAAGCCACGGGCAGCAACTCTGACCTAACACAGCATCTCTGCCCAGCTAACTTCCAAACACATAAGCAGTAGTTTAAAAGGGGGGGGAGTTATTTCATACCTCTGTGTTTTGGGGGTGGCTTTACATGGTAATAGGTAACATAAACATTTCTTTATCCAGAGTCCCTTCTAGAGAACCTGCTGTGCTTGTAACCTAAGGAAGCGCTGGATCGAGGTAACATATCCTGGAAGGGAGTCTGCCTGGTCAGGATGGCAAGAGTTGTTCACATGGACTCTAGAAGAATTTGTGCACAGCTGACCTGGGTCAGACTCTATTTGGATATTTGGAATAAGAAAGAGAGCAGTATGGAACAGGGGCAGAAACTTCCCGTGTGGGTAGCAGTATGCCATACAGAAATGTAAGTTAAGAGGGAAGTTTCTTAGGGCCGTGACTGATAGCCTGGGATGAGGTTCTACAGCTGCAATCTCAGTGCTTGGGAGGCTAAGGCAGGTGGGGTCTTCCCATGGAGTTTCAGGCCAGTCTGGGCTACAGAGCTAGACCTTGTTTGTTTTTTAAAAAAAGTAAAAATAGGGTCATATTGTGATTCTGTTTCTTTTTTTTTCTTTTATTTCTTTCTGTCTTTTTTTTTTCTTAAATTTCCAAAGTGATTTCTAAAGCTTCTGTAGTAGTTTACACTCCCACCAACAGTGTGCCAGGGCCCCCATTTGACCCCACTCATGCCAGCATTTGCTGTCCTCTGTGTCCCCGATGATGGCCGTTCTGACTGGGATGAGGTGGGATCTTGAAGTAGTTTTAATTGGCATTTCCCTGGTAGCTAAGGATGTTGCCTACTTTTTGAAATATTTGCTGGCCACATGCATTCCTTCTTTGGAGAACGTTATGTATCTTGCTATGGTCACTTGCACATCATGTGCACTGCCCCTGAGTTCCCAATAGCTAGCAATGGAGTCAACCTAGATACGCATTGACAAATGGATGCATACTATGTACTCCGTGTACATAACTGGGCATGACTCTGCTCTAAGGAAATCATAGAAATGGCAAGCAAATCAATAGAATGGGGAAATTACACCTAGGGAGGACACCCAGGCCCCCGAAAGACAAATGTTGTATGTTCTCATTCACACGCAAGGAATTCAAATCATGTGTTTTATGAGCTTATCCTTGAATTCTCATGAAGTCAGGAAATTAGAAGGCCAGTTTATGGACTGATGCATACTCATGGGGGGGGGGATCAATTATAGGTGGAATGAAGGAGAGAGAGAGGATGCTGAAGTCCTAAAGGTGAAAGGAAGCACTCCCAGAGAAGGTGGCCCTAGGATATCAAAGAAAGCAGCCTAAGCGTGAACCTGATCAAGCAAGGAACCTTGATTTCTGCTTCAGGATCCATCTGGATATCCTGCCCTGACTTCCTGCAGTGATAGACCATAACCTGTAACTCGAAATAATCCCCTCTCCCGAAACTGTTTTTGGTCAGAATGTTTTTATCACCGCAACAGAAAAGAGACTAAAATGGCACGCGGCACATAGGTCTCTGTCCTCTCCCTCCTGAAAGGGACATACATAGGTCTCTGTCCTCTCCCTTCTGAAAGGGACATCCTCAGGAGCAAAAGCAAAACAACCAACCTGATGGTTTGTATGACTCGGGGTCTAGTCCTGGAGCGCTGTCTGGTGAACTGTCAGCACCTTGGGAGTAAAGAAAATTAACATGAAGGTCTACAGCAGTGTTTACACTGTGGCCCCAAAAACATGAACTAGGGGCTAAATATTTCTGAAAAGACGAAGCAGCATTGACATCTGGGGACAATTATAGCCTCAGACCACCACAGACAGTGCCTGACCTTCAGGACTAGATTAGAGCTCATAGATTATTTGGAGACAACTGACGTTTCCTAAACGGCCCTTATAGAACAGAACGATAGAGAGCGCTTGATAGAATTCATTTGATGCAACAAACATCCCATCGCCTGAATATCCATCCTCTGATTAAATAATCTCCGATCCTGCCATGGATACATCTCTCTGACTGTAGTTAGCATGTGCTTTACTCTCCTAGTCCAGGGAGATCTACTGTGATCCTTATGCTGCTGGATTAATAAAATGAGTTTTATAAGGGCAAGTTTATCTAATGCAAACACTGAAAAAAAAGTATCAATCCAGGAGTGTGTATGTGATGTTGCTGTAACCCCAGACTTTGGAGTAGGAACAGAAACAAGAACCACCAGCTCTGAGTCTGCCAGAGTGGACTGTGGAGATACCATAAAGGTCAAACTTAAAATATAGACGACAGTACAACGTGTTGACAAGGATTCAGAACAAATGTAACGTTTATACATTTCTTATGGCAACTTAAAAAGGTGTAGCCATGCTAGAAAATGATGTGCAAACTCTTGAATGTTTATGGTGGCTTTTTCATACCAGTGAAAATCAATAACCAACTCAATATCCATAAAATATGAGTGGATAAATTTTGACATCTCCATACAATTAAATAGGGCTTAGAAATAAGAAAGCATGAATTAGAATAACAAAGAAAGAATTAATATTACCAATAAAAAGAATAGACACCAGGAATTACCTGAATAACTCATTAAATATTATACAAGAATCCCAGCCCAGTTGAGTGTGATAGTGCATGCTTTTAATCTCAGTATTCAGGAGAGAAAGAGACAGCCAGATCTCTATTGAGGTATAATTTACCTACAGCAACATTTACCAGCCTGTTGTGTACAGAGTTCTAGGCCAGTCAGGCTATGAAGAGAGAGCCTGTCTTAAATTTTAAAAAATAGACCCCTAGTACGAAATGCTATGCTTTATCTTGGGTCTTCCACAAAAGCAGCAATCCTTCTTAACCCCTGAGCTGTCTCTCTGCCACAAATGTTTGACGGTGGTGAAAGCTTATATACCTGTAACTATTACAACTCCTGTAAGCATATGGTAAATTTTGCTGTAGGTAGATTATAGCTCAATAAAGCTGAGTCATAATGCAAGGGAATTGCCTTTGTGCAAATACCGGGCTAAAATGTAAGGGGCATAGACACAGGAGGCAGGTAGAAGTCTGTTGTCATCTAGAATGGAAGGGACAGTGGCTCCTTGGATCTGAACAGTGGCCATGACACCAAAAAAAAAAAAAAGGCCATGAGTGGAATCCTGGGCTCATTTGAATCTGCAATGCTATGATTTGAATGCAAAAACATGTCCCACTCAAAGGCTCATTTGTTAAAATCAGATTGCTTGACTAATGGGCTTTAGAGGAGTGGTTCTCTCTGAGGAGTTTAACTTCTTGGTGGATAAATCTATTGATGAGCTCAGAGCTGTCAGCGGACTACTAGGAGGCAGAACCCGGTTAAAAGAGTTAAGTCATTGGGAGTGTTTCACTGACGGGTCTCCACGCCCCTAGTTCTATACGGTCTGGCTTTTGGCTTCCTAGCCACAGTGAGGTGAGCAGCCCTGCTCCGCTACATCCTTCCACCACCACGACCTGCCCCTTATTGCAAGTCCCAAAGCAGGGGAGTCCATCCACTTCTGAAACTTTGTGCCAAAATGAAGCCTTTCTCTCTTAGCTTTTTCTCCCAGTCACTTCATCTTAGAAAGCATTTGACACACCAGCTGTCAGTTAGGCACTGCGTATGCATAGCCATAAGCATGTATCATGAGACAGGGAAGTCAATCACATCATCTGACTTACTGGGGAGACTCATTTTTGATGATGGTGATGATGATGATGAAGATGATGGTGATGACAACTTTGATGGTGATAGTGATGAAGACGACAATGATGAGGCTGGTGTTTCTGTTTCTATTTGTAAGGATGAGGACTGATCCTTTGAAGTTATATTTGAAGACAGCAATTTTTAAAGTATAGCCCACTGAGCAGCATCGTCAACATCTTAGACTTATCAGGTAGGCAAACTGTGGTCTGAATGAGAATGGCCCCAATATGTTCATATATTCAAATGCTTAGTCACCAGGGAATGAAACTTAGAAGAATTACAGGGTGTGACCTTGTTGGAGCATGTTTGGCCTTGTTGGAGGAAGTGTGCTACTGGGGAGTGGATTTTGAGCTTTCAAATCCTGTGCCAGACCTAGTCTCTCTCTCCTCTCCTCCCTTCCCTCCCCCTCTCCTCCTCTCCTCCCCTCCCCTCTCCTTCTCTCTCCTCTCCTCTCTTCTCCCTCTTACTCCCTCTGTCTGATGCCTCTGGATCGAGATATAAAACCCTCAGCTATTGCTCTAACGCCATGCCTGTCTGCTCCTCACCATGAAGATCATGGACAAATCCTCTAAAACTGTAAAGCACAATCAAATGCTTCCTTTTATTATAAGAGTTTTATTATAAGAGTTGCCTTGGTCATGGAGGATCTTCACAGCAACAGAACAGTAACCAAGACACAAATCATTACACGGTACCCTAGACCTACTAAGAAACGCAGAAGGTAGTGTTGTTGGTTGTTTTTATACTCTTTAGCTCTTTGGGGGACTCACCATCCAATTCCCAGATAAATCACACAGAGTCTTTCTTATAAATGACCAGCCTTAGCTTGGCTAGCTATTCTTAAATTAGTCCATCTACCTTTTGCCTCTGGGCTTTTGTCTATATCCTATACACCTCTCTTTACTGCTTACTTCATGCCTTGCTGTGTAGTTGGGTGGCTGACCTCTGGACTCCTCCTCCTCTCACTCTTAGATTCCCTCTTCCCAGATTTCCCCTCCCATTTATTCTCTCTGCCTGCCAGCCCAGCCTATCTTTTCTCCTGCCTTGCTATTGGCTGTCCAGCCCTTGACTAGACCAATCAGGTATTTTAGACAAGCAAAGTAACACAGCTTCACAGGTAAACAAACGCAGCAAAAAAAAATGCTAAACATCTTTGCATTATTAAACAAATGCTCCATAGTATAAACAAATGTAACATATCTTCAAATAATATTCTGCAAGAGGGGAGGACCCGGTGATGTATGTTATACTAGGCCCTTCATGTGCTCCTGATGTGCCACAAAATTTGGAAAGCACTGCACTATGATAAAGGGGTGGAGCGGGGTTAAGATGGACTCATGGTAATTAAGTGTTTGAGACACTCTGAAATCATACACACACACAACTTTTCAACTGTTGTTATCCCATGACAGATGTTAAAGGTATTGTTTATGATCTAACAATTCTGGAAAACAAAAATAGTCATTTACTCTCAAATAAGCACACCTGGGGTGATGATCAGACTCAGTGGGTAAAGGCGCTTGCTGCTGAGTCTGATCAGCTATGCTCAACCCACGGGCTTCACTTGGTGAAGGGAAAGAACTGGCTTCTGAAAGTTTTCTTTTGTCCTCTACACATGTAGCATGGCATGTATACACACACACACACACACGCACGCACTGTAATCGAAAATTCAAATAAGCAGTTTGAAATCCATGCTGTTCACATTCTCAAAAGAGTGTATTTTGAAGGCCACAGCTATTGCTGGCTGTGTGTATGGCTGTAGGTCCATCCCCTGGAGCATGGGGTGGCTTCACAGTTACCACATTGCTGAAGAAAACTGACTCTGCCCCCACACCCCCAACAGTTACCAGATACCAGCAGCTGCTCAGGCAGAGATGGAACTTCATAAGCCCCTCCCACATCCGTGCTGGGATTGTGTCTGAATTGGTGTTATGCAGGTCTTGTGTAAGCATTCAAAGCCGCTGAGCCCATGTGTATACTAACAGTGCTATGTCAAGCCAATGTCACTGTTTTGATGTTTTCTACTACCTCTGGCTCTTATGATCTTTCCATCCCCTCTTCTACAATGACCAGGGAACCTTGTGGGGAGGAGGCATGAGACAGATGTTCCATTTAGAGCTAAGCACTACACAGTCTCTTATTCTATGCACACTGACAAGTTGTAGGTCTCTGTATTGTTATCTACTACAAAAGAAAACTTCTCTGGTGAGGATTGGAAGATATACTAACATATAGATATAAAGGTAAGAACTTAGGGGTCAGTTTATTACTATATAATAATATTAATGCTATAGTAATAATAGTAGTTTTTCCCTAGAGCCTGTGACCTAGACAGTCACATATGTGTTTATCTGTTTATTTACTTACTTACTTACTTATTTTATCTATTAATGGTACTAGGCATGGGTTCCATCTGGTGGGTGGGCTTTAAGTCTAATCTGAAAGGGGTTGGTTAATCCCATGCCCTTTGGGCTGCTACTGCACCAATAGGGCATATCTCGCCAGGCCAGTTGTCATTGTGGCACACACAATTCACAGCTAGGGATTACTTTTGGTTACTTTTCTCTCCCACTAGCATGCAGAGCACATTTCAGAACTAGGAAAGCTAGCCAACGGGGTTGGCCACTTCACCTTGAGCTGACTCATTTCTTGGTAAGAATGGAAACCAAGAAGATAAAACATAGGCATTGAACACGTCTAGGTAATGACACAGGGAGGTTTTGAGGGGATCTGTTTGTGGTGTGTGTGTGTGTGTGTGTGGGTGTGTGTGTGTGTTCTGAACTTTACAGCATTTCCCCAGAAGAGCAAGACTGCAAAGGTTGCAGGTGCCAAAGTCCTCTGGGGTGGGCAGGGGGTAGGGTGGGTGTCAACTGATAGCCAGGTGTGGAGGATGGTGAGTCCTCCCACTGTGGTGTTTTCTCCTCCACTTTAGCAACCTGCAGCCGCCCTTCCGCTCCCACTCGAGCTCCTGACGATCCCCAGCTGTGGATCATAGGACACTCTCTTACCTTGGAGGCTGAGCCGGGGCACCTGCACCCTTCGACTAAGGGGCACTGAGTCGACCACAGGTGGAACTGGAATGATACGGAAATGGGTGTGAGAACGGATGGTCCTCCTCTGAGACAAACGCAGGATGCATCACAGAAGGGTTCCACTAGGACCTGACAAGGACCACAGCTTGGTCTCACCTTAACCCGTCACCTGGACTCACAAGCTACTTGATTTTTAGTGAAACCCGAGCCAAGGTCAGAAGGCTGACAGAAAGCTACCCAGCAAGACCCTGCTGTCCTAAGTGTTTCCTTCCTCTTCACCCGGCATAGACTCCAATGACGATCCCTGGGCAGTCACTGAGGAACTGGACCAGTGTTACGAAAGCCGCGGTATCCATGAGAACACTGGTTGTCTTCGGTGACCCCAGAGGACATTATATAACCTAGTGACTCGTCTGCTCCACAGTCTGTCTAGACGGTGAGGCTACACATGACAGAACTGATGATGGAGGCACCGCTCTTACCTGACAGGACACTTGGAGACTTCCCACCATCCAGCAATCCTAAAACACACACAAAACATTTGTCAAAAGCGACTTTCTTTATCCACTTGCTCACATGTGAAACATTACAGCACTCTCTAAAGAAGGAATTATACAAGTCAGGTTCCTCACATTTTACAAAGTGATTTACTTCTGTGTCCCTCTGTCTAGCAGGATTTGGAGCCAAAACCCGGGGGGCATCAAGAGAAGTCAAACGACTGTCTCCTCCGCGTACATTTGATTTGTTCAGGACATACTTCTTTGGTGTCTAACGTGTGGCAAGCATTGTGTAGGGACAAAGAGATAACGAGCAGAACAGATGAAGACACCCCCCCTCCTTGGTGTTAAAGTGTGGCACTGCAGGTGACTTTGAGCATCACACATTCTACTTTTGTCCCTTAGCAGTACATCTGCCCCCTCCCTGGAGAGCAGCCCATCCATTCTGCAGGTCTAGAAGGCTGGACGTGGCACTAGTGATGTGGGCTGAATAGGCACAGCTTTTCACTTTCTGATTTACTCTTCATCAGTCACTCGGATGAGAATGTCAAGAATTTTAGTCATTCTCTCTCTCTCTCTTCTCTCTCTCTCTCTCACCTAAACTGAAAAAGACTAAAGTTCTGCACCCCCCAAAAATGTCAAAATGTCCTCAGGAAAACAAATGGATTCACTCTGGCTGTTAGAGGAATAAGAGCTAATGGTGGGGGCATACTGGGGCCTGTGTCCTTCATAGGTGATGAGCATGTGACTTCAGAAGAAGAGCCAGAGTGAGAACATTTTGGGCTCAGCCCATTGATGATCCCCTTGTCTCTCAACTCCCATCATCTTAAAGGGTCCTCTTGGTCTCTAAACCGGCAGTGCTCCTGGTCCGTCCTCAAGTAGAACATTTGTGGGGTTTGTAGCTTATGGTGCTTTGGAGACCAACGTCTTAGGACACCTCAGTCAGGTTGTTGCTGTTACCATTTCATGGGACTTGAGGACAATATGAAATCTATTTGGGCATGAATCTCCTCATCTGGAAAAGAAAGCAAAGAGGCCTCTCACGCAATCATTGGGAGACTCAGAGAAGAAAACCCACCGGAAACTTTGGACATAGAGGATGAAAACGATGCCACTTAACAGAGCTAGGCAGGAGCCACAGCTCTAACCTGAAATTTCTGACAGCACAGTTGACAAAAAAAAGGTACAGGTAGAATTAATTTTTTTAGTAATCTTACACAATTCAGCACATAAAGTCTTATAATTTAAATATGTAATTAATGACATTCTCTTTATTGATGAGGGAGAATTGTCTGTATTCTGTCAATCATATTTTAATAAAACGCTGATTGGCCAGGCAGGCAGTATAGGTGGGAAAACCAGACAGGAAGTAGAGGTGATGCAATGAGAACAGGAGAATTCTGGGAAGCAGGGAGGTTCCTCTGCCATTCCTGCGCAGACCACCGAAGAGGCAACATGTAAGCTGTCACACTGAGAAAGGTACTGAGCCCATGTGGCTAACATAGATAAGGATAATGGGGTAATATATGTTATAAGAGTTAACAAGAAGCCTGACCTAATGAGCCAATCAGTTTATAATCTTATGGAGTCCTGTGTGTGATTTTCCTTTGGGGCTTGCCAGCTGTGAGGTACTGGGCGGGACAGATACCCCAACAAGCTGGCCCCTCATGTTACACTTTATCATGCTTTTTTTGAAAAGTTTGTATGTGTGTCTGTGAGGTTCTGCATGTCTGTGTGATAGTGGTGTGTGTGTGTGTGTGTGTGTGTGTACGTGTTTGTATGTGTGAGATGCATGCACATGCATATGTAAAGAGGCCAGTGAAGGACATCTGGTGTTCTTCTATATCACTCACTGCCTTATTCCTTTGAGACCGGATCTCCCACTGTACTTGGAGTTAGAATACCCAGTGATCCTCCTGTCACTGTCCCCTCCCTCCACCTCACAGCACTGGGGCCATATAGGCATGTGTGAATGTGCTTGGATATTTATGTGGATGCTAGGGTTCTGGATTCAGGTCTTGAGGCTTACACAGAAACTGCTCTTACCCAGAGCCGTCTCCCCCAGACTCTAGGTAATTTTTTTAGAACCTTCATTAAGGTATAATTTGTGCACTATTTTCAATGTATGCAGACTGATGAGTTTGGAGCCAGAATACATCTGTGTAAGCATTGCTATAATTAAGGGAATGATTCTATCTCCCACCCCCAAGTTTCCCTTTGTCTCAGGTATATGCGCAACAAGAATGCTTAACAAGAGCTGCCCCCTTCACAAAAGTCCAAGTACCTAGTATAGTGTTAGCATTCTCTAGGTCTTTAGAACTCTCTCATGTTGCTAGAGAAATCATGCCTGCTGAACAACAGTGTCCCACTTCCCTAAGCCTTCAGAAGATGCTGTGAGTACTTGATGTACACAAAATAACTCAGTCCCACCAGCTGTGTTTTCAAGTACTCAGTTGCTGTGGGACAATGGTTTTACCCCACAAAGATTTGTTTCTTGTACTTGTTTAATAAAATGCTAATTGGCCAGTAGCCAAGCTGGAAGTATAGGAGGGACGACCAGGCAGGAAGTAGAGGCGGGACAATGAGAACAGGAGAATCCTGGGAAGAGGAAAAGGTCAATCAGTAGTTTTCACCCAGATACAGAGGAAGCCAGACACAGAGTAAGCAAGGTATGACTGCCTTGCTGAAAAAGGTACCAAGCCACATGGCTAACACAGACAAGAGTTATAGGCTATAAGAGTTAATAAGAAGCCTGAGCTAATAGGCCAATCAGTTTATAATTAATGTAGACCTCTGTGTGTTTTATTGGGATTGAATGACTGTGGAAACCGGGCAGGACAGAAACTTCAGTCAACACTTGGTGACCACACAAACCCTGTAGAAGAAAGGGCCTGATTCTCAGCAGCTCTGACACACTATGAATTACACAACTCACATTTGAATTATTGAAATGGCAGTTTCCATAGACAATGAGACAGTATCACCTGTCACAGTGATAAATAAAGTTGGACTGTAACAGTGACTCCTGTTCACTACAACTGGAAAGAGGTGAGCCTGTGACTCACCAGCTTGGGGGAAATTAAAGTTTCCTATTTCAGATTCTTCCTTGACATTAGCCAGGTGCTCTATTTTATTTTCTAAGTTCAAAGAGTGTGAAGTGACTCTTTGGTCTTTTCTCTTTCTCTAGTACAGGCGAATCCTTTCATCTTAGACCTTTTCTTTGTGAAATGTAAAGCTTTGAGTCCCAGTGTTCTTTGACAGTAATTGCAGACAGACAAACATAAATCTGGCTAGTGCTGAGTCCAGACAACCCTAGTCCCCTTCCCCTCAAATCACATGATCTTGGGTAAAGCTGGTGGTCTCCTATAATAACCTTCGCCACAACTTAAAGGCAGTAAATTTAGTGACAGTGATGGGATCCTACCTGATGCAGTAGAACTTGAGTTCACTTTAGGAGATGGTTGAGTTGAGATGGCAGCAGGCAGAACTGGAGTAAAAAAATATTTAACAATAATTGTTCATGGTGATCCAAGGACAGTATGGCATTCAGGGCTCCCTGTGACTTCACATGGTACAGTGTGCCTCAATTCTGAAGGCCCACTGCATAAGTGATAGAAACACTAACCTACCTGTTAGCCTCTAATCCTCCAACCCCTAGATCAATCAATGTTCCTTATCCTGTCCCTGCTAGGCTTTAAGCCCAAATGCAGGTATTCGATGTTCTTCTGTGATAATTATGTTCTCTCTAAGAATTGGTCTGATGGTACAGCATTTCAAGATCTCTTATTTGCTTTTTATGCTTATTTTACGCAGTGCTCCATTACTATAGATTTGTTAATAGGTTTTATACTACCTGTAGGCCTCACACTGCCTGTAGGTGCTGTATTAGTGTCTACAGTTGTCACTCTGTCTGTAGGTGTCATGTTGTCTCTAGGTTTGTACTTGTGTGTAGGTAAAGCAGTGTGGGAGTCACTAAACTATCTGTTGTCACCCTACTGATTGTCAACTTAACAGAATCTAGAATTGCCTGGAAGGAGGACCTATGAGCATGCCTATGAGATGTTGTCATAATTGTGTGAATTAAGATGGGAAGACCTGCCCACTCTGGGTAGCACCATTCCCTAGGCTGGGATGCTGAACTGTGTAAGTGAAGAGAGGGAGCTGAGCAGCAGCGTGCACTCATCACTCTCTGCTTCCTGATTACTGCTGTGACATAGCCAGTTGCTCCTGCTGCCTTGATTTCCATGCCATGATGAACTACACTGTGAACTGAGAGACAAGCAACCCTTTCTCCTTTAAATTGCCTTTGTCACAGCAACAGAAAGAAACTAAGAATCTTTCCCACCGTGATGACTATACCTCTAAACTGTGGCCCCAAAGAAACTCTTCCTCCTTTAAGTTGCTTCTGTCAGGTGTTCTGTCACAAGGATAACACTAACCTGGAAATGGATCTGCCTTTTCAAGACATTCCAGAATAAACATAGCCTGCATGATGCTTTTCCTGTAGCTAAGTGAGACCCATTTTAGATTTAGAAACTCTAAAACTACAAGGCAAAAAAAAAAAAAACCCTGCATTGTTTCAGTCATTAAATAATGATACTTTGTTGATGTCATAGCAAACTAGCACAACAGGTTAGTATCATGACTGAGCAAATGACTCTTCCTCTGAAGAAAATTTAAAACATGACATTTGCCAAAATTGAGGGAGTGTGAGAACTCCCAGAGCAACTGGTCAAACTGCACTGAACAATTACAAAACTTATATAATCAAAACATTTTCTAATATTTTCCAAAAAATAAAAGTACCATAAGCTATCTTTTAAGCAGTTACTGAATCTATTGCAGTGACATTCTTGAGATCACTTGCACACAAATTCAATATCCAGGGCAAGTTAGGACAACTCTCTTGAGGGCACAACTGAAAACCTACTTGTTCATCCTCTTCTCTCCTGGATTAGATGGGTAACTATACATGCCCAGGGAAAGCAGCAGTAACAATTATGATAATAATAAAAACCACTCACCTAATAATATGGTTCCTGGATTTTCACCACCTAGTGATACAAATAAATCAAGATATTTCTTATTCAATTCAATTGAGTGATTTTTATTAGGCATATTTATTAGTCTAATATGATAGGTCTGAAATACAAAATGGGAAATCAATTCCTGGTGAAATACAGGCTCTGGGGTTAAACAGGATCTGAGAAATATTTGCTGAATTGATTGTTTTGAAGAATTTCTAGGTTAAAGCCTTTACAGGTGGCTCTTTGGAAGAACTGAGGGTAAGTCAGTCACCATAGAAACTAGGGCCACTTGTTGGTTCTGGGAAGTTGTTCACTGCTGGGCACAAAGCAAGAGGATGATAACACATCATAAACTGAGATACAGTCTCAGTTCATGCTTCCCTCGGAGCTGAGTGGACCCTCAGTGTACAATGCCATTAATCTTTTCTATACGTGATTAATCATGTCATAGAATGTCATTAAATTATATCACATGTTGTAACATAGTACACTATAATTTGTTATGCATCATAAATACTGCATATGTCAGATTATTATACACCAATGTTGACTTATGATGTGACTACATCATAAGCCTGAAAAAGACCATAAGCCAAAATATCTTGGGCTAAAATATCCTAAATAAAAAGCCTTGTGCAGTGGTGTGGGCTGTCATTCAGCTCTGGAGAGCAGAGATAAGCAGGACTCTGGGGTTTGCTGGCCAGCTAGCCTAGTCTACTAGGGGAACTCCAAACCAACAACAGACTCTGACAAAGGACACCTAAGGTTGTTCTCTACATGCATGTGCATATGTGTCCAAACACACATGTCCACACACACATATGAGAGCATGCACATACCTCCACAAAATAGGGAAAACAAATTTCATACAACTAATCTATCAAATGTCCAACTTTAACAACACAGCACCCTGTAGATACTGGCTGTTTTCTATGCTGACTGGTTGATGTGTTTCACTGTGGCTGCCCAGTATAAGGAAAAATGGTTTTATTCCATGCTACTGTCCTGAGAAAAGATAAAGCTCAAAACCCAAGCACCACCCCTTAGTGAGATTCTTCTCATCATGGGTATTTGTGTTATTTCATTTCTTTCTTAAAAGAGTAGTATTTGAGGACAATGCCAACAGTATCCTAATTTCTATACTCCTGGCACTCAGCACAAGGTGTGGGGTAGTCTTGTAAGCATGCAGTCAGCTGAATTCTGGAAACTCTCCCAAGCTGTGAATGTGTGTCTTTCGACCAAAGAGGTACCTTGGGAGGGTAGGCAGTGGACGTGCTCCATTCTTCCAAAATGACCTGCTTTTTAGTTTGGTTCGGTGTGGTGTGTGGTGTGGTGTGGTGTGTGTGTGTGTGTGTGTGTGTGTGTGTGTGTGTGTGTGTTTAAGTCCCCACTCCCTTGCATCTGTTGAATCAAAATTACTTTCACTTGTCAATCTTATGGCATAAAATGGAAGCTTTCTCATTTGGACATCCTCTCCCAATTTTGTTTTTAAAAGTCTTGGCAACTTCATGATTTAAAGTTATCAGACATAATTAAAATTATAATTTACATGGTGTAACAAAAAAAACAAATCCAAAGCACCAAAGTATGGTTTCTATTTAATGCATATTGCTTTCTTACAATCATGAAGTTTAGAAGTCATGTCAAGGCAACATAAATACACACACACACACACACACACACACATACAGTACTACAGATTTCAAATGATTGATAGTAAAACATATATCTGTGATATACATGTATATATGTATATGCATGGTATATAGAAATTAGAAATGTAAGGATAATGACCACATGGGTGGTAGGGAAATAAATGGAAAATCTACCAAACAACTAACTGATCCTTAGCTAATTACTAATTACTAGGAATTGATTATTTTTAAACCATGAGTCTCCTGGGATTGAAAGGGTGATGGAACATTCTGTGCTTGGTAAGTGGTGTTGGCTGAGAGAAAGTTACCGTCTTTGTTTATTGATTGCTGACTCTCACCAGAACGCTACACCTATGCCTATCTTTCATCCCAGAGGTATCTATTTGAAGCTGTTACTGACCAGTGCTGCTCTTGGCTCTCGGATGAAGTAAGGCAGCCCTCTCTCACTAACCCCTTTCCCTGAGGAGAGAGGAGAGGCAGGATAGAGGATGGGCAGGGGTTAAAGCAAAACTAGAAAAACTATCTCAGATGGGAGGAGACCAGATGGGTCATACAGAATGTGACAGAGGGAGCCTCTTCACAGTGTGCATTCAAAGGACTTCTCTCTGTGGGAGTGGGGTTTTGTCTGATCCCTGACAATAGGAAGAGTTGGGGACTGAAGAAAGAACTGGGACAGGTCCTAATTGGAGACAACCCAGTCTATTTCGAGGGTTATACAAAGCGTCAGAGGCAGATTAATGCAAGATGAGGGCTTTCCTCAGTGGTCAGAGACATGGGAGTCTTTGAGTGATGCATGCCTTAATCTAATCCCAGCACCTGCAGGATCATGAGTTTAGCTTTCACTCTAAGCTACAGGCTAGCCTGGCTGTATATATAGTTTACATAGCTAGAAAGACACACACATGCACACGCATCCACATACACACATGTACACACCCCCATTAACACATGTATACACACATGCATGCACACACGCATGTGTGCACATGCACACACATGAACACATGTATACACACATGCACACACGCACACACACACGGGGGAATGGAAGGAAGGGGAGACAGAGAGAACACCAACAAAGCAACCTTTTGGGGGTTTTGTGCACAGAGACAGTTATGTTGGGAGAGTAAGAGAAGTAAGTGGCAGCTTGCAATAGTTGCCATCACCAGGAAGAACGATAACAAGACTCTGTGAGATGGAATTCTTGGGGCTGGGAGATGCTAAAGAGTTTAGCATATATTTTGAAAGTAGAAGCAGAATTTCATGGTGTATTGGTTGTGTAGAGTGAAGAAGGAGAAACAAGGAGGGTCTCCAGTTTCTTCCACTTAGAGACACTAACTGAGCAGGAAGGAAGAGGCGTCAGCTGTCCACCAAAGCCAACCTAGACCTGATATTACCCAACCGACTAGCACAATTCCCCTGGCTAAACGGTGACACAGTTCGTGGCAATGTGATTAATTTTCTGATTCTGTTTCATCATCAATAAAATGGAAATTTAAAAAGTACCTAACTCATGGGGGGGTTGTGAAAATTAAATAAGTCATGCATAGAAAGTGTTTAGAATTAAATCATTTAGTACTGAAGTCAGGAACCTATGCCTCCGTCCTACCTCACAGCTAGCAACCTCCCACCCTGCCGTGTATGTGTGTGTGTGTGTGTGTGTGTGTGCGCGCGCGCGCGCGCATGCCTGAGCCAGAAGCTGATAGTGGTATCAGTGTCTTCATCCATCATCCATCCCTCTCCATCTTTTTGGTTCTATTGACTCAGGCTCTCCCACTGAAGCCGAAGCTCATCAGCTCAACTAGGCTGACTCTGACTGGCCAATGAGTTAGAGATCTGTCTATCTCTGACCCCTTGGCTCTGGGGTTCCAGGCACCCACCACCAAGCCCAACTTTTTTTTTTTATGTGAGTGCTAGGACTTCATGCTTGTGCAGGAGAAGTTTACACCAACTGAACTGTCACCCAGCTCCAGAACCTGATTCTGCAAGGGAAATTTTATGTGGAAATAGACAGATCCATGGCTTCATGACTGCCTGTGTTTAGTTTCATGTTGGCCCCAGCTATTTACTCAACACCGTGACGTCATTTGGCCTGTGAAACTTAAATGTTCCCAGAAGAGTTCTGGCCTCTGAACTAAAGACTCAAATAAGCCTGAGGGTGAAGCTCCCACCCAGAACTGTCACACGCTTCAGTGGTGATGGCACTTGTCACCATTCCAAGTCTGTGACCTTCAACTGAGACTCACTGTGAGGTAGGTGTTTTGTCTCCTCTCTCAGAAGGTCATACATGGCCTGTTATGACCACTGGCACTAATGAAGTGGCAGAAATGGAACCTAAACCTGCTGCTGCCAAACTCCTGAGAGAGGGCTGGCTGAGTACAGAATATACAGCATGTCCTCTCCAAATCTGGCCCAGCAAGGGTTAAGGAGTCAGAATCAAATGAGAATGAAGAGAAGAGTTTCAACATGAAAATACCTCCTACCTTGGGGCTCCACCAGTGGCTCCTGGCCATTCCCTGCAGGGAGAAGGGTTGAGAATTAAGCGGCTGTTGGAACAGAAAAGAGCTAATGACAGTTAGGTCAGATTCCTTCCCCAGCTATTTGCCTTACAGAGTTCAGAAGAACAGTCATTAAATGGTCCTATGAACCATTCAAGGAATCACCCCACCTTCTCAATGGGGGAGGAATGAATTTTGCTTTAACCGCACAGCCCTTGGGACGATGAAAAATATTACAGAATAAATCAGACTTGAATAACTGGCACAAAAGTGAAGCTAGTTATTTAGAAGGAATAATGCAAACCAAGAGCCACAAGCATTTTCTACTTAACATCAGGAATATTTTAAAGTTTATTTTTAAATTTTGTTTATTTCAAAAATATCCCTTTCTTTTCATTTTATATGTATGAGTTATTTGACTGTGTATATGCATTGCGCTGCATGAATGCCTGGTGCCCACAAGAGGTCAGAAGAGGGTGCAGGACCCTCTGAAATAAGACGGTTGTAAGCTGTCATGTGGGTGCTGGGAACAGCGCCCAAATCCTCTGCAAAGGCAGCAAGGGCTCTTAACCACTGAGATATCTTTCCAGTTTTTCTATGTTTAATTTTGTGTGTGTGTATTAGTATATGCATGTGGGTACAATGCCCGTGGAGGCCAGAAGAGGCTGTTAGAACCCCTGGACCTGGAGTTAGATACCTTTGTGAGCCTCCCAACATGGGTGCCGGGAAGTGAGCTTGGATTTCTATAAGGGCAGTACATGTTCTTAACTGCTGAGTCACCTCTCCAGCCCTGGGTAACATCTCAGTGGCTCAGGAATGCAGACATTGTGGCCACTGGAATACACCAACAGATGACCACTCCCCCTTAATCCTTTAACAATAAACCAGAGTCCCCTCCCATTTGGTATACAGATGTATCTTGGCATTGATAATGTGCCGAAAATTAGTCCTGTGATAGGTGGAAATCTAGAGTCATGTTGCATCTCTAGACCAGTGCTTCTAAGCTAGGGGCAATTTGCTTTGCAAAGTGACATATTAGATGTCTTTGCTGTCACAACCACATTGAGGTTACCACAGTTGTGGGCGAGTAGAGACCAGGAATGCTATAAAACAGCCCCAAAGCCCAGGGCAGCCCACCCACCACCAAGACTGACCCAAATGTCCGCAAGGCTGGGAGGGGAAGCCCAGCCCCCACACTGACCTCGATACTCTCTACTTCCTCAAAGATTTGTAAGTACCGATCCTTTCCCGTGAACTCAAAATCAACAGGACAAACTAAAGCTATTCTAGGTCACAATTGTATTTGTGTGTGTGTGTGTGTGTGTGTGTGTGTGTGTGCACAGAGGCACATGTGTTGGGGGCAGAGCTCAGCTCCCATCCACCTTGTTTTCTAGGCCAGGGTCTGGCCAGTGAGCACATGCCACTGCTCCTGGCTTTTTTACATGGGATCTTGGGATCAAGTTCAGGTCCACACGCTTACATGGCAATCCCTTTACTAACTGAGATATCTCACCAACTCTATTTTTTTTTTGAGACAAGATTCCTCCCCCTCCCCACTCCCGTGTGAACCAATCTAGCCTGAAATGCACTATGTCACGTGTGCTGGCCTTGAACTTTAGCTATCCTCCTCCCTCAGCTGCCACAATGCTGTGCACCGCTGGGCTTGGTTTGTCTTGCGAGTATTAATGGGAAAAACTTATCTTCATTCTATACAGGGCCCTTGAATGAGTCACCTCACTGGTGGGTCAGGTTATCCCTTTACAGGATGTCTTTGAATCCTTACAATGAAACTTCTCATGTCTGTCACTATGTTTTCTGTGTAAAATCCACTTCGACATCTAGTGTCTGAAAATCCTGAGCTCAAGGCCTGAGCCCTTTACTCTACCTGTGCCTCTTTATGTCTGGCCTACCCACGCAGCAGGGTCAATCTGTGGCTGCAGATGTGGATATAAAGGTTCCTTGGGCTGGAGAGATGGCTCAGCTGTTAAAGGCTAGACTCACAGCCAAAACTAAAAGTTCCAAAGGGATTAGTGTGGTTGCGATCTTGAAAAGATGTGCACTGTTGGAGGGAGAGGTGGCTCTTACCTTCACAGATGACACTGGCATCTTCTCCGGGACCACAGTTATGTAGGTGCCAGCCAGCATGCGGGCACTGTCCCAAAAAGCTTTCAGTCCCAGTACAGCCCATCTCATCCAGCAGAAACTCGCCTGGGCCATCACCAAACCGTGCCTCGACGGGGGCTTCGAGGGCACGCCCACAGTTCAGCTGTCGGCACACCACGTGGGCCTCACGCAGGTCCCATTGGTCATCACAAACCCTGCCCCACTGGCCATGGTAGAAAACTTCTACTCGCCCAGAGCATCTTCCTGACCCATTGGCGAGCTGCAGCTGTGGCCAGTCTTAAAGATACGAAAGCGTCGCTGGGAGGAAGCTACTCCACTTGGATCAGTTTCCCTAATTACACCACACGCCCTCACTATACAACACATTTGAGCAGATGGCACAGGCGATCCTATCACTAACAGGATGGGCCTGATCCTTCTTAGCACGAAGGTCATAATCTAGCAACAGAGGTGAATTCTGCCCCATTCCCACTGAGTTGGGACTCAGGAAGAGCTGGGAGAAGTATCTAGCACATTTAATCCTTAAGGTATCCCAGCGGCAATAACTACCACTTCTCTAAAGTGAGCCATTTTAATCTAGAATTAAATGGAGATCTGCAAGAATGCCAAGTGCCAGGAAGCAAAGGTGATGGTGGTGGTGGTGTTCATAATGGTTTGAGAGTGGATAATGGATAGTTGGGATGGAGATGTCTTTTTTAAGTGACAATGGTCTCAAGGCTTGGAGAGGAGTAGGAAGGAGTTGTACCAAGAACACCTATGAAGTGGGTAGAACGTTCTCTAACACAGTAAGAAAAACAAAACAATCTAAACAAAGTCTATAGCGTGTTATTAATGGGGTGAATGCATAGAGAGTCTTTGGTGACTTCATTCTGTTCAGTAAGATTGGTATGGCTAAAGATTTACCCACTAGTTAGAAAACCTTGCCAGATCACATCCCACAAATGGCTAGGAAACCATGACTCACCACCAGGAAACGGTGTTAAGAGTTCAGCATCTAAGAGCAAAGATAAATAAACAGGAGTCACTTCCACGCAAAAGAGCCCACCCAAGGACACTGTGTGCGTGGCATCTCACAGAGTAGACATTAGCTGGCACCATGATGGCATGCGGGAAGGAGGTGTGTGTGCAGTAGGATCTGATCGGTAAAAACTGATTCTGAGTTCACGCAGCTCAGAGTCAGTCATTTACTAATTGGGCTATGTGCACAAAGACATTGGCTTCCAGAAGGCAACAGGGTCCAAGGCACAGAAAAGAGCACTCTCGTGGTCATTACAAAGGAGGACATCAAGAGACTTGCTTGTTGGATAAGCAAGGTTTTCCTCTTTCCGTCGCTAGCATGTGGTGGAGGAATTGAAGGCACACCTTGTCCTTGGGACTCCCCTCTCTGCCTTCGTGTGTCTGAAGTTAGAACTCTCCTTAGTCAGTCTGAGATCAGTTGCATCTTAGAGTTAAAATTTGCCAACCCAGATTCATTGTCTCCTCCAGAATTCTCTGAAATACGTTTGAGCAACAGGAACAAGGCAGCTTGGGGATGAGATAGTACCTGCGTGGTTAAAGCCAAGGAACCTCCTCATTTTCCTTGCCTTTGGCGGGTCCTTATGTTTGTCTTCTGCCCTCCCCGGCCTCCCACGTGGGTTATGGTAGCAAATGCAATTAGATGCCTGGGGGAGCTTGTGGGTGCTCTATTAAAGACATGCTAAAGTCTTTGCTCTTACCAAAATCTCTCGAAGTTTCATTTTCTGTGGGAATGTTTTCAAATTCTACAAGGAAGAAAAGAAGGTAGAACACAAGGTGAGTCTATGGGAAAGGATAAACTCTGCGGTGTTCTGCCTTGCTGAATGACTTTCTACTGCCCTGGTATCCTGTCCCCAGTGGAAAGCTCAGTCTAGACTTAGTTACACGGGGCTAGTTCAGAAAAGCCGATGCTATCTAGAAAGGAGAGTTCATTTGCCTTTGTTCAGTGTTTGTCGGGGATGTCAGTGTGAACTGTGTGCAGGGTTTGCCCAGGTCTTTCAGTGAGGGTTGGTTTGCCTAGCTTCTCAGCTTGGGGTTGGAGCTGGGTGGCCACAGGTTAAACAGGCACATTTTCTTAAGGGATTTATGCTACCAGGTACTGAATATTTCAAATGCTGTTTCATATTAAAATAAAGACAACTTTGGTATCATTTAGACTTTGAAAGCAAATGAGATTCCAGAGTCTCTGCTAAAGGCAGGCAACCCTGGGGCCCTGATGTTTGAGCAGACAGCTGATTTTCTGGTCAGAATTTGTTCTCTCGCTGATAAGTCAACTACTCCCCACACCCCCATTAGCATCCTTTGTCTTTCTGCCTGTGTCAGGAGAGGCTGGGCACTTAAGGAACGGGAGGGCTCTGATGATGAAGGCTTTGCTTTAGATTAACCAGGGCAGCTCAGCTAGGGTGTGCGGGTTGAGTGGGGTTTCTCCCTGTACCTGGGGATCTTGTCAAGGGTGTGCGCATGTTCTGGTGGCTGAGCAGATGCTATGGATGAGACTACTAGCAGAGCAACGCTGACCGCTGTGGATGCTCATACATTTTGCTAAGGTTCAGGGCACCTTTGCACAATTGGTGGGAATTGTATATGGCTACCTCAGGTCCAAATGCATGCTATTGGTCAAGAAGGCATTCCTCTTGACCTTGACTTAATTTTGCTCCTTAATTTTGGTTCTTTGTTTTCTAAACAAGAACAATAAAGCAAACCCACCTGAATGATAAGAATGGGGTGGAAGACGGGTGTAAAGTGCTTACAGAATCGCAAAGTGTCACATGAGCAGAGAGGATTTATGCTTTGAGGCAGTCTCTTAGGCAAAACCAGTCAGGCATTTGTTACTAGGAATCGTACTAGGCAAGCTATGATTCAATTCTAATTCAACAGATCTACCAAAATAGCACATTTACAAATCAACTTCAATCAGTAGAAAAGAAAAGCAGATGGGGCTGGAGAGTTGGCTCAGAGGTTAAGAACACTGGCTGTTCTTCCAGAGGTACAGTATTCAATTCACAGCAAGCACATGGTGGCTCACAACCATTTATAAGAATGAGAGCTGGTGCCCTCTTCTGGCATGCAGACATGCATGCAGGCAGAACACTGAGAAAAAATCAGATGAAATTATTGGAAAATGCTGGGCCCAGGAGAATACTTGGATAAGGAGTTGCAGACAATTTCCTGCCACTGTGAAAGTAACTATTAACCAATCAACTTTCAATGCATTATTAATTTATGATTAGTTGCTGACATCAATAGCTCCACCTATACCTGCTCAATTCTAAAGCATCTGTGCTATTGGCAGCTGGTGCTGGAACAGTTTGCAGTGGAGAGTCATCTGTGCCTTGTATGAGATTTAACAGCGTCCCTGGAGGCTACCACAGACACCAGAGGCATCCCCCTGCCCACCTCTGTGTGACAATCAAATTTGCTTCCTAGGGCACAAAATCAACTCCAGCTGGGAACAACCACAAAAGGATATACTTGAGAAGGGCTTTTAAGTCCCCCAAAGCAAGGTTTATGCTTATGCTAATTGGCTAGCTAGACTGCTATCAGCCCCGCCCTCTCAGGGTACCTGGTCCAAGAATTGGGCTCGCTGGAAATGCTCTTAGAAGCAGGTATTCCCCCCCCCCCCCCCGTTCAACCTTAAAGCAGGTCTCAGAATAAGGATAATCAGAGGAACTTTCTCCTGCAGGCTGGAGAGGTACCTTAGGAACCGCAGTTTCATGGGCCAGAATTCCTCTGTACTTCCTGCAGTGGGAAAGACCCTGGCCACGACAGAGCTCATGACATCAGCAGTCACCAGGAATGAGACATGCTGCTTTCCAATGGCAGTGGGCACGTGCAAGGCGGCCATTAACTCATCCCATGGAGTCAGAGAGATTTTGTTCCCTGTTAGATGGCCCAAGCCTTCCACAGAAAAGGCTTGTGAGATGAGTACTTAGCTTTTGGCCAGGGGATGAAGCCTTAGTTCCTGCTTCCTAGAAGGCTGAACCTTGAAATGTGAGCAGAGGAAACTTGGAGAGGAGTATCTGTCTGGTTCACCAGGTAGCAACTGGAGAGCAAGGAGGGGGCTTTCTTTTCTCTTCCACCCAACTCTACATCTTGTTCTAGCATCTACAGCTGCTTCACCAGGGCCAGAACTACTCTGTCTCTGGGAGCTTGATTTCCCCAAAAGCAGAATTTTAGAGACCATGTTATTGACAGTCTGGCTCTCAGGATATAGGGCAGGGCACTGGGCCACCATGATTACCATCCCAATGATCGCTCCCATTTAGTTAGAAAAAGATTCAAAGATAGTCAGTGTCACACCAAGCACAGAGAGATGAGTGTGGGGAGAGGACCAGTAGAGGGCCACCTAGGGGTGCCTCCCCGCAATTCCACAGGGCCCATAATTAGCAGGGGCCCACCCTTTGCAGCTGCTCTGCTGACCCTATCTAGAAATTGCTCATAGATCTCATGCTAGGACCCACAAATCACATAACCTTGCAGCTGGCCTGTGAGTTTCCTTTTCCAGTCTGTCACTCTAGTGCTACCTAAGGGGATGCCGGAGGACTCGGGTAGAATAAGAGATCCACATTCGGCTACTTCTCAAACCCCATGAAGGAGAGATTCCACACAAGTGGCATTCTGGAAGGTGCCTGGGACCATGAGCAGACAAGACTTTTGATCCCACAAGACAGTATGTTATAAGAGTTTTCTTTGGGTCGGGGAGAAAGGAGAATGATTGGCTAAAGTGAAAAATCAACTCTTTGGGGAAGATGGGAAGTGATTTACCGGAGCAGACGACGCCAACGTCTTCCTCGTGCCCACAGTTGTGGATGAACCAGCCAGCGTGAGAACACTGGCCCAGGGAGACCTCAGGCCCAGAGCACTGCACATCATCCAGAAGAATGGGGCCAGAGCCCTGGCCGAAGGGGGCCTCTCCCTGGGTGGACACGGCGACCCCGCAGCCCAGCTGCTGGCACACGACCTGTGCTTCCTTCTCGTCCCACAGGTCGTCACACACTGTGCCCCACACGCCTTCAAAATACACCTCCACTCGGCCAGAACACCTGTTAGAACCTTCCACAAGCTGCACGGGAAGCCAGTCTTCGGGAGAAAGGTAGTCCACACCACCACCTGAGTGTCGGCGAATAGTGAGTCGACTTCCCAGGAGTACCACCTGCGTTCCCAGCACATGGCTAAAACCCCTTACACGGACATCTTTACAAGGCTCCCAGATTCCTTGTAGGGTCCTATTATTCCCATTGTACCAGGGAGGAAAAGATGACAGGAACAACAGCTTCCTGGTGGTAGAGCACTGACTAATGAGGACCAGAACGGGACTCCATAGAGCTCCCTGGATGCTCTTTTGCGAAGCCATGAGGTTTCGCTTTGTTCTTGGCGATCCCTTTTTCCATATGTGCCCCCACTTCTACCTGCTCCAGCAAGATAATCTTCATCTATGAAGACAGAAACTACCCACCTCTGACCACCTGATATTTCAGTCTAAGAACTTGGATTCTTAGGTCATTTCTACTGTGCCCTGTGGTGTCGGGTGAGAGATGGCAGGCAAAAACAAATGCTTGGGGACTGCGTTCTGCTGCACAGGGACAGGGCTGCCCTTCACTGTCACTTGGCACTCACATTTTTGCCTGCCGGCACTTTGCTGGGTGCCTACTGCCTGTCCCAGTGTTCTCAGGGGGCAGTAAGCTTTGCTAAGACAGTGAATAGAAACCCACCCAAGGTCGGGCTTGACTTGGTCAGTCACTAACTATGCAAATCAGTCTATGTGGGCCACTTAGCTTCTCTTTTCTTCTTCTGCAAAAAAAGCAGTGCATGCCTTGGAGGCTGATCATGAGGCAGAGGCCGGTGAAGTGCCTGGCACAGCAGGGGGGTACTTAGGGGCTCTCATTATTTCCATTTTATGAACCAGTAATTAGGCAGATGAGAACTATTCTGCATTCCCAAAACTACTGAAGGAGAGCTGTGGCAGGGGAGGAGCGGAACGCTCTCCTGCTATCTCTCCTCTTCCCAGTCACCACAGAGCAGGGCAGTCCTGGTTCCCATCTCTGAGAGAGATTGAAGGTTCTGGGGTACACCCTGACTGGGAGTAAGGCCCAAGACTTTGCATGTTTCAACAAGTTCTAGAACAGTCTTGAGTGATTCCCATGTAGTCCAACATTTAAGAATTCTGTCACTAATGTGCAAGAACCATAGAAGCAGAAAAGGTTCTGGCAGTCTCTGTCTTGTTAGGCATACATAGCACTGGGGTATTTTTATGGCTCAGGATAAGTGACCGCTCATCCTACTGTGTTTGGACTGTCCATCCCCAGGGGCTTTGGTGTCCTTCCACCTCCAGGTACCCTTACTCCCTTGGCCCTCTTTCTGCAGGCCACCCACAGGCCTTGTCTGATGAGAACTCACCGTCTTGCTGCTCCACAGACATGCTTTGAATGGGGCTTCTCTTAGGCTTCCCCTTCCCCAGCTTTGCTCCAGATCCTCTGATGTCCCTCCTGTAGCAAGCTGAGATGTATCCACCATGTTAGAGTCCTGCAGGGACCCTGAACACAGCCAACCCAGGTTCCGTGGAAACCTCCTGGGTCTTGCTCCAAACCCACCACTCCCCAGGCACAGCAGAGACTGGAAATCTGAATTTGCAGCCAGAGCAGGGATGCCACCAGGAAAGGACCAGGTGCTCTGGGATCCATTTCCTTAAGCTTCTGCCTTGAGATGCACTTGATCTTAAAATTCCCCTTTCTGTCAGTTCTGTGTTAATTTCCATTGACAGTTTTGCAAAGTTCCTGCACCCCAATAAGCCTCTCTGCCGATGCAATAATCCAAATCAGAATCAAATCAAACCAAATTAGAAAAAGCTCAGGTTTAATGGATGCAAATACTCCCAGACAGCTTTCCAGCCCCCCAGATTCCAGTACCCAGTGGGAGTACTCTTGAGCGTTTCTGGGGGGGGGTCATCATTTGGGAGGCTTTCTTGGGGGTGGAGTCTGAACTGAGGCAACTTCATGGAAGGGGGGCTTGGGACGGAAAACTTTCACCTGAACATTCCAGACTCTGGATATATGAATGCCACGGGCTTGGGTGAGGTTTTCATGCACACAAGTCTGTCGGTCAGTAAACTTCATTATGATTCTCTAGCCATCTGTAGTAAATGTCGAATTTTTGTTAAGGAAGTGACAGCTTACATATAAATTCTACTACACTTCCCGGTACTCTACTGTTTCTAACACTTCTTGAACTGGTTTTTTTACAACAATTTTTCCTACTTAAAAGTTTTCCTATTCTTATTTTCATTACCTGTTTTTCCTCATTTGAGAAGATCTTTAGGATCATTTTTCTTAATTTTACGTTCTTTAAAAAAATACAAATGTTTTCACATTTAACAGTCCCAGGTCACCGTGGGCCAAGTGGTGGATACTCAGGACCCAGCACGAAGGTCAGCGCAACCTCTGAGCCTCCCTCTCCGACTCCAATGGGGTGAGCACATCTCCCTCTCGAATGGTACCTTTGACATTTTGGGTGACAGAGTGATGTCATCCATAAATTCCACATGTACCTGCGTGCACTGTCCCTGCGAACTGGTCCTGCCCAGCACTTTGGTTACCCTGGCCAGCTGGATGGTTGCAGGTGACTGCTGTCCATGATGGTGGCTAGCAGGTGGAAAGCTTACACTGTTTTTTAACTCTTTTTTTTTTTTTTTTTTTTTTTTGGTAGGGCATTGCCACTCCATGTAACCATGGCTGGCCTTAAATTCACAAAATCTGCATACTTCTGTCTCGGAAGCACTGGGATTAAAGGCCTGACCCTGGTTTTTGTCTTTTAAAGGTAAGCTTGGTTATAAGAAGGTATTTATTTGGTTTCTACCAGAATTAAAATAGCAGGGTTGTTGTTGGTGTTATTGTTGTGTTGTTTTAAACTGATTCCTGACTCTTCCTGGCCAGGAGCAATAACTTTTCTCTAACATCATTAATTGCAAGCCAGGTCTGTCCCCACAGCGGTCCCCTGGTGAGTCTACCTGTCATTCAGCCCACTCTCTGCTTTAGCCATTGGTGACTCCCTGCTCAGTAGACCACATGAACCTAAGCCTACGGTACTGTTGGGTCAGGGTAATTTTACAGTAGCCTAACTAATTTCCAGGTGTCTATAGAGAGAGCCTGCTGTGCTCTGACATTGGGTAATGCCCTGGAACATACCCAGGTGACCCTGTCCTTTGTCCTCTTCACAGATGAGCAACCACGTGAGGCAGTGTACAGTGCACTGAGCAGAGGTCTGAGTCAGGCTGCCAGAGACGACAGAGCTCTCGGGGTCGGTACTGCTGGCCTTCCTGCAGTGTCCCTGGTGTGCCCCCCTTTGAGTCTAAGTAGTGTCCAGTCCCTGTTCTGAGCTGGTTTGGAGAGACTCTGCCATTATTAGCATTCGTGTGTAACAGATGAGAAAGTCAGGACCCAGAGGCCTGGGCAGCATGAGCCCGTGGTTGGACACTCAGCCTCTGATGCATCTGGTCTCCGGAACATTCTCTTGTCCATACTCCGGCTTGGCTTTTGCTCTGGCTCTCCTCCTCCCAGATACTACAGCAGGTCAGGCTTTCTCCTTTACATTTATCCAGTCTTTCCCACCGGGCCCCTTGAGATTGTCTGGAACAGCCTCTCATTTTTCATCCTCCTGCCTCAGCCTCCTGAGGTTGGCACCATGCCTGGCACCAGTTACTTTTCATCAATAGTATTAAAGCTTTGGGTATATTTTAGTCCTTAACTCTCTTTTGAGACAAGGTCTCACTATGGAGCCACGGCTGACCTGGAACATTCTAGATAAGACATACTCAACTCTTGTTCTGCCTCAAACTCATAGGGATCTGCATGCCTCTGCCTCCTAACTGCTGGGATTAAAAGAGTGTGCCATTGAACCCAGATTCAACATTTCGAAAATATTCCATACTCATCATCTCATTAGAAACCGTCTGGTGTGTGCTAGTTAGGCCTAGCAAGTGACCAGGATCATAGGTGGTCATGGGAAAGAAGAAAAGGAGGAGCAGAAGGAGAGAGGAAGGAAGAAGAATAGGGAGGGAAGAAGGAGGGAGAGAGGAGGGAGGAAGGGAAGGAGGTAGGGAGGGAAGGAGGGAGGGAGGATGAATCTCTGCTGCTATTGAATAAACACATGGCCATCCGGAGTAAGGAGGTGTGAGTGAGTGTTTTCATGCTTCTGTCTGTGTGTCTGTGTGTGCTTGTGTCTGTCTTCACTGTCGTTCATTCAGTCACTTTCCCTAACACAATTTCTCTTCCACTCTAGACCTTGTCACCTGCCTACTCATAAAAAAGCCACATTTGCATCATTTTGATGACTGTACTAGGTCCTAATTATCTACAAGATAAAGATGAAAGTTCTTAGCCTGAGTTTATAAACCCTCTATAATTAGACCACAGCTTGCTTCCCAGCTCCATTTTTATTGGTAGGTTGTTCTTCCTCTCAGAAAGAAACCTCATCTTGTCCGCCTCTAGAACGTCTCTTGAACTATTAAAATTCCCACAGATGAACACAGCATCCCAACCATTCAGATCAGGCCAACCCTAACTCATCAACTGTGGTTCTAGGTTCAAGTGGGCAAGTTGCTTGAGCTACTACGAATTAACCCAAGGGTGATCTTTGCTACGCACAATGCAAACAAGAAAGCCGAGCACCAAGGCTCCAGGGATACCAGCCACACAAGCATCATTTGTTCCCTGAGATCATCAGAGAACCAGTGGCCCAGGGGACATGGAGGAGACACCCAGTATGCATCCAAAAAAATGACTATCCAAACAAGGCAGTTTCAAATGCAGTTATTCATGCCTGCAAAATGGGCATTCTTTCCCCTTTGCTCATTGCCAAACCCAGGATCCCAGACAAGATGTGTGTATGAGCGAGAATGGGCAAGAGGACCACTTTGTCCCTAGTAACATTCAATCATACTCTTCAAATACATTTCCTAAGGCTGTGAAGTGGGTGAAAAGCCTGCTGTGCTGGAAACCTGAAGTGTGATCTGTGGAACATTGAGTGCAGGTGGAAGGCCAGCGGAGCCAGGCTGGGAAGGGGTGTTAGTGTTACGCCACAGGTGTTGGAAAAAATAGGCTGAACTTCAAGGTGGGAGAGGATAGAGGTGGTGGGGGAGGGAACATGTTCCTAAACCTCTAAACCAGTGGTGACAGTGGGAGAACGGAAGGAAGAGTGTGAAAGAGCTTCCCCAGGTGGCAGTGATGGGACTGGCTAACCGAAAGGAGGGAGAAGACAGACGCAGAGGGCAGTCACAGGGCTGGATTCTGTACTCGGGGTGTAAGCCACTGGTAAAGCTAGACCTGGCTGAGTTATATGATTCGAAATGATTGCCAACAGTCAGGAAGCAGAGTGAACCACTGGGGGAAAGCAATTAGAGGGGCCACAGGACCAAGAAGAACAAGTATCTGAGCTCACAGATGCTAAACCAGACAAGTCATTAGCTCAGTAAATAAAGGCTAGCAACCACATTTCCCTAAAGAGATTGGTGCCAGGAAGGAGTTGGGGAGAACAGGGCTAGGAGGGAAGGGGAGCAAGGATCAATGACTACATAACCAGAATCTGACTGTGGAAAAACGTTGACTTCCAAGGGAATTCAATTCAAGAGGAAGGATTAAATTGATTGCCATCCATTCGCTTGTTCAGTGTCTCACTAAACAGCCCAGATTGGCCTTGGATTTACAGTCCTGCCTCAAACTCCTGTACACTATACCAGGGGTCACCACTGGGCTTAGCTCCAGTCTCTGTAAGGGGAGATGAGCCCTATTGCTGGGGTCTGAACCTAGGGCCATGCACAGGCCAAGCTTGTACTCTACCACCAGGCTACACCAGCTCTTGGTCTTTCCTATACTGACCATCTCCAGTCTTGGGTAAGACACGCTGCAACTCCACACATGCCCAGCCTGAAGCTGTCCTCACTCCTCTACTACAGAGCTCCAGGGCAGTCATCAGTGGGGACAAATGGTGTCTTGCCTATTTGATCTGGAGTGTTTGGGAAGTATTAGTAGGAAATATGAGCTAATGAGCCAGGAATGAGGGAAGATTTGAGGAGGGCTAGGCAAGGAGCTAACAGGTACTCCAGGAAGGAGGATCAGAATGAGAACAGTGGGTGAGGGCGACAACGTAAAGTCCTTCGGGATGGGAACACGGAGGAAAGCGTTTGAAGCAGGTTGGCCATGTGTGTTGGGCGTGTGTGAATGAATGTGTGTAATGAAAGTGCATGTGTGAGTGTGTGGATATGAATGAATGTGTGTATGTGTGAAAGAATGTGAGGATGGGAATGAATTGTGTCAACGTCTGTGCATGTGAGCGTGTGTGTGTGTGTGTGTGTGTGTGTGTGTGTGCTGGCTAGAAATGTCAACTTGACACAAGCTAGAATCATCTGAGAGGAGGAAACCTCCACTGAGAACTTGCACCTAGAAGACTGGGCTGTAGGCAAACCTGTAGGGCATTTTCTTCATTAGTGACTGATGCAGGAGGACCCAGTCCATTGTGAGTGGTATCATCCCTGGGCTGGTGGTCCTGGGTTCTATAAGAAAGCAGACTGAGCAAGCCAGTGAGCAGCACTCCTCCATGGCCTCTACATCAGTTCCTACCTCCAGGGTCCTGCCCTGTTTGAGTTCTTGTCCTAACTTCCTTCAATGATGAGCTGTGATTTGGAAGTCTACGGTGAAATAAACCCTTTCCTCCCCAAGCTGTTTTGGGTCACGGTGTCCACAATCACTTTGTAGAGACTGTTTTCCTATTTAAACTGGAGAGTATTGAGAGCTGAAGCTTCCAGAAAAAAATAGGACTCTTGTGTCAAAGTGTCCACAAGGTTGGCTAGAACTTCATGACTGAATCACTGGAAGATTGCAGATCCATAATCTGCATAATAGCAATCCTGTGCTATTGCTAATCCCCTTAGCAGCCATTTAGCACCCACCTTCTGCATTTAACGCAACATCCTTTCTGCATATCAGCTAACCCCTGGAGTATATTCTTAGCATATCACTAAGTTGCCCTTTGTACTGTTCACGTGAATTGCCCCAGTAACACCCAAGGCTCCAGTGATCTGCAAGTTCCACAAATCCTTTCTATTAGTACGTGACCTTCGGGGAGCTGGACTGCGTCCCTCGGTGGTTATTCTTGGAAGGTCATACTGGCCCCATTGTCTATAAGGCTCTTGTGCAATCGTTAGGAGCCAGGCAAAGCCTATTGCACCGTATCATGTCACTAATCCTCGGCTCCTGGACACCCCCACCTGAAAGCTCAAGTTCAAGAACACCCCCACCTGAAAGCTGTAGAACGGCCCACACGTTTCAGGGAGGAGGTGCAGCAAGAGCATGGCAGGGACAGAAAGGTTGCAAAGGGCATGAAGACAAAGGAGGCACCAGGGGTCAGAGGTAAAAACAGTCCCATTGGTAACTGAGACTTGCAAGTAGTGTCTACCAGATCTGCTGAGCTGCTCAAATTATCCTTAGATTTGTAGAGCTCGGATGAAAAGAAAATAGCACATAATCCTCTTATTTTTGTTTTGGGGGAAGCTTGTGAGCAGAGAGGCTCAGGGCATGATGTTCTTGCTCATTGCCTCTGCAGTGTTGGGAGCTGCAGCATGAGGCCAAAGAACAGAACAGTGTGTTCTGTTGAATATGGCAGACAGCTCTAGCACTTAGTAGGACATCAGCAAATTTCAGAGAAAACAGAAGCATGGCAGAGGGGTAACTGGCTTCCTCCAGCAATCCTTCCGAAGTAATCATAGCCCTCACTGGGAGGACTTTTTTTTACTGAGGTTTGGGTTTCAGTGCAATGAATGTTGAGGCTCGGGGGAAGTTAGGAACAACCAATCAACCAAGGTTGATTCTTGTGTGGGGGACCCACTCACTCTGTTGTTCCTAGTGTTTTATAAGGGGGCTCCCAGAACACATTCTTAAGAGAACCACTGAATTTGGGAGCCACTGCCCCTCATTCCCCAAACTCTCAGAAATCATTAAACTTGCCCCAGACTAAGAATTACCTTTTCATTTCCCACACCCATATCCACGCTCAACCCTTTATACACTTGGTTCTAAACAGGTCTGGTCATATCCCAGGAACACTTCCCAAAAGTAGCCCCTACTGTGGCTAGGGGCAGATCTTACTGGGGCGCCTTCTGGATGGGTCAGGAGTCATTTCCACCCAAGCTTAGGCTGACATCCCCAGAGCCAACACTGTCAGTTTGAATACAGTCAACCTCAGCATCGTCTTTGCCGTGGTGGAGGTAAAATGATTAGAACTGTGAATCCTACCAGAACATTCCAAAAGTTCTAAGTGCC